GAACACAATCTTTTGCACATCACCAATGAGCCTTCGTATCAGAGCATCGCGAGGTGACGGTGTCTTCAGAGCAGATCATATCTGTGTGACTCTAACTCGAATTCAGTGAAACTTATCATATATCTACTGGAAATTCTTCTAAAATGAATGCATTGTGCATTCAACGCAGCGTTCACTGATAACCATGTATTTGGCCGACATTGCTACAGATACGGAGGTTCATTGCACTTTTCACTTCTAAAAGATGCATGCAGTGACAGATTCTGATTGTGGATCATTATTTTGCAGTTCACCAATTTGGATTACTTCTTTTGCACATTACGTCAATTTGGAAGTAGTGCTCATCAGCCTCTCGAAGAAAAAAATTTTGAAGGTCTGGACCGTTTTCTGATCAGGACAAGTTTTCAAAATTCGTTGATGGTTTGAAGGACGGATAACCTACCACGCATCTGTTTTCATCGTATTTTCGCCTAAACACATTTCTAAACGATAAATTTTTGAGATGAAAATTAAAGAAATTCGAATCTAATTAATATTTTTGGTCACGAGTTCTATTCTCAATTGTAAATGTTTATCATTTGTATTATTTGGTGTGTCTTCATAAATTGAATGAAATTAATGCTCCTAATTGAAATCGAACTTGGTAGCGAATTTGCTTTTTGAATTATTTTACCTTTACAATTGTTGACACCATCAAATCGGTCAACGGAAAAAGGTTTGATGATGGTGGGGTGATAGTGGACCATACGAAATTTTTTTTCATTACCCTGGGAATAATAGGGACGGGGATGGCACTTTTGTGTATTGATATATCCGTTTATTGCAGCATTCATAGTAAATAATAAATATTACTGAATATGAGTGAAGTGGAAACGATTGGTGTGTAATTTAGATGAGTGTGTTATCAAAATTATCTAAAACCGTGTTTTATCGAAAATTGCAGTTCCGTGGATCTCCAAAAAATAAATCCCTGGAACCCTTGCGAAAATTAAATTTGATTATGCTCAGAAATCACCGTGTTTAATTTAAATCACTGCTTCACGAAATTGTGATGTTTCCGTTTATTTGCTTTTCGTTGCCTTTGTTCGGTGTTCAATAGTTTTCATAAAAATTTTCAGTTTCAAACTAATCTGTCGTTGTTAGTTTCATTGTTGTTTTCATATTCGTTTCCCTCACCTCACATCCAGCACTTTTTCTGAGTGAATGTGTTACGTTCACTGTATGACGATTCGACAGTGTTTAGAAATCTCAGATTACAAACACATCGAAAAGTGCAACAGTAATGCAGTTTTATCGTTCAGCTTGATGAATAATCACTTTCAAAAAATCGAAAGAAGTGATTCATTGAAATTCGTTGCACTGTCTTATTTTTGGTTGTGGTGACAGCTTTACCGATGTAGGTAATCATAAATCATCGTGGTGATCGTAACAATAATTGCAACCGATATGCACATGCTTGCTTAATGTTCACTCTGCACGATAACACAGCTGATCGCTTTCACTTATATATTTATCTATCATTTCAATTATTTGATGAATGCTCAATAAGAAATATGATTTGAGAATGTTCGCTGCTAATCTTCAGATTTTCACCATAATTAACATCACAAAGTATTTAATTCATTCTTTGAAGTTTATTGTTAATTCACTGATTTTGTTTATCATTCTCCTTTTTTTTCTTTGAACATAATTAAGTTTAGCGTTCGGAATGAAACAAAGTATTTTGAGCATTAGAAATTCTCCGTGAGTCGATCGATCATTTTCGATTTTTCCTCAATTCTCAAAAATTACTGTCAGATTGCATAAATACACTTGAACTGTTGAAATGCAATGGCTTAAGATTTTTAAATTGCTTTCATTGGCTGGCAGAAAATCCTTTTGAGTTTCTCGTGCCCAAAGCATATCGCATAAAATCTTCAGATTTTCATGTTTTACTTGCGCGCTTCAACTCATAAATTCTTTTGTTAACGAAAATGATCGATTTGTAGGTTATAAAAGTGAAAACTGTGAGCGTTAGAAATTAGGAAATGTTTATACTAATTCAATGGTATGGTTGAATTTGATTGATAATTGAATTATTTTCAAGGATAAAGAGGACGATAGATTAGTGGGTGTTAAATCAACAGCGCTGTTGTTCGGTGATCGGACGAAATATTGGTTAAGTGGATTTGGCACTGTTATGATCTCAGGTTTAACGTGTACGGGTTTATTACTTGATCAGACCTGGCCATATTATTGCATGGTTGGAGCAACTGCCGCACAATTGGCATGGCAAATCGGAACGTTGAAAATCGACGATCCTGAAGATTGTTGGAACAAATTCAAATCCAATCAGGTGGAAATATTTTAAAATACCATCTTCATTGCACTATTCTTCTGAAATAAATATCGGCTGTAAGCAGCACCTTTTGAAGTTATTTTGATGATTTTCTCTTCTCGCTTTCAGTGGCTTGGTGCTATTCTCTTCTCTGGTATCGTAGCGGGTAATTTGTTGAGGAAAGAAGACGAAACAGAGAACGTACAGAATGATGATTTATCTAATTTATCGCGTAATCGGACGTGACTAAAATACGTGGAAAGAGAAGAGTGAACGTTTGGAAATGTTATTGTATTTAATTTTGAAGAGAGTTGTGTGTTCGAATATGATTTTTCATATGAACGAGCCGATTGCAGACTGCAGATTTCATTCGATGCCAGTAGTACGATGATTATATTTCTGTTCAGCGTTATACCGAATATCTGTGCACGGTTTATGAACCTTATCAACTGAATACCTCAACCTTGCTTTTGCTCTGATACACAAGTTATATACCTCTGCTTCTATGACAGTCACTTTCTAGGCATTGGTTTCATTTTTCGAGGCATTTTCAAGTTCATAATTATGAGTCGTATATGTTTGAGTCATTTCAAAGCGTTTGAAAAATGGAAGTAAATGGTGAAGAGTTGCTTCATCGAATGAGATGTATGTTGTTGGATTATTTATTTAATGTATTTTGGAGGTTCTGAATGGGAGTGTGCAATAGTAGTTGAAAATGAATGATTTATAAGTGTTCTCGTGTATAGTTTTATGGACTCTAGAATGTCATTCATATTTAACGTTGCCATTCTATCACGTTTTTAAGGTAGTCGGGTTGTTCTTAAATTTGTGGTTGTTTTTTAGAATAGTTTTAATCTGCTGTAAATTTGTTATCATCTTATTGACGGTAAACTAGGCTGGCGCGATATTTGTTCAGATATTTGTCGTGAAGTACACTTACCAAATAATTTACACTTACCGAATACCAATAATTCATTAGTATTCGGTAAGTGTAAATTACTCGAATTATAATGCAACGTCTTGCATAACAATGTAAACGTAATGTAT